TTTAGACAATTCTATATGAATATATTGATTTTACAGTGATGTGAGTGTTTTTTTTWAAAAACATTTTTCTAAATTATTAAAAAATAGTGTAGGTAGTCATTTTTTTAACAAATTATTCCTGTATTTATAAAAACAAGTTGATTTACATTTTATTTTATATTATTTAACTATTGACCAATGTGTGTGCAGTATATTTTGTGATATTATTACTACTAACTTAATTTATACATTTAGGAGTTAATTTTATTAGAAAGTAAAGTGTAATCTAATAATTTACGTAAAAACGGATAAATTAGGAAATTTTGCCTGTGGATATTTTGGTTTGAATATTACGTCCTTGGATGTTTTGACCGATTACCGTTTTATATTCAGGTAATAGAATCGTAAGGATATATATTTAAGGTAGGTAGGTACTAGCATTAATTATATTATAATAATAATTTATCCTATAATTAATGGTACTAGGTTCACTCTATTGATGTGATAAATTTGTTTTCAATGATAAATAATTGAATACAAAATATGATTTCTGAGCAGTGTCATTACATATATTATATAATGATTTTTATTATAGGTATCATGATATGTTTTATTTGTATTAACTTAAAAACGAATACCTATACCAACGTACCTAACGACGTTGTAAATAGGTTTGTGGTATAAATAGCTTTGAATTAGTCTGAATTATTGTGATCTAAATAAATAMAATTTTATATAGGTAATTGCGAGCCTAATTTCGAAAAGTCCTATGATTGGTATTTTAGATTTTGAGTTGAGCAATGAATGCATTAGTTTTACAATTACTTTATTTATTTTTTTGCCTGATGATACTTTTTTTAATGGAAAATTGATTATATTTAATATAAACAAATTTTCGTTAATATTAACGACACTGAAATGACTTAATGACAACTGACGTTGTCGTGTAAATAATGACTTAATAGGTGTTTTTACAAAAAATTCGTTTTGATAAAACCAATTCTGTTTTTTTGCTGTATGATTTAAAAATAGATAATTCTAGTGATTTGAAAGTTTTATTAAATATTCATATTAGGTACCCAAGTATATAGTGGTCGATCACTAGATACTTAAAATGTGTGTAAAGTTTACTTGTTGAAAATGTTTGTCGACCCTTGGACTATATTTATATAATTTGTATTGTGTATGGAAAACAACCAATTAATGAATTAACAAATTGAACTTGGTATTCATTTATTTTTTTAAATTATACAATAATTTAACATAGATACAAATATTTAAAATGGTGTGTATTGTGTATAGAGTCTATACTATAGACTATAGTGTATAGATACTATTATACAGGTAAATTCACATTTATATTTACTATCCTTATAGATATTTGATCATGTATAGTTATTATGCATACAAAATAAAATTCTTGTTAAGTAGTAACGAGTTAACTACTAACGATAAATATGAATTTAACATAAACTGATAACTTTCATTAAAAATCCCATAGTTTTAATGAGTTCGTTAAAATTCCAAATGCATTAATTATCATATAATGATTACCTTTTCAACATGTTTGTATTCTTATATGTTGTCGTATTCATGTAGCATCAGTAAGTTCTGGTTTTCTCGTCATGTGTATATTATTATTGTATACATATATATATAAATCTTATTAAGCACGCTTAATTATTAGCGCGATACTATAATTTTTTGTCATCTTAATTTAAAAACTAGAAATGCACTAATGAGTACATAATGTCCATGTAATAATTAGAATACTTTCTACATATAAGAACCCAAAGCCTGGAGATTTATATTACAACCATTGCATGATAGGTACTGTAGTTTTTCGTTGATATTTGTGCTTGTATCTGTTTACTGTTATGATAGCGTTAAAAATATATATTTTTTTTGTGTAAGACAAGCGGGTAATTCGTGTATAATTATATTTACAGTAGTGTATAGTACAGGATTTCCGGGATACATTGATTTCATTATTATTACAGTAGTTTGGTAAATCAATATCATTTGAAAACATATAGGTACATAGGTATTGTTGCAAAATTATTTAGACAAACTATTGTCTAACCGAAACAACAAGTACAATATATGAAATAGGTATGCATAATAATTACTATGCGACAAACGTAAACGTCATACTATAAATCTATTCTATCAAATCGTATGTATGTAAAACCAACAGGTCGACGAATACGATTGACCTTCAATAGGTGTATAGGTAGGTACGTTTAAACAGTTGATTGCCTGACTTCGACGAAGAGTTTTTCAACATCAAGGTAAGTACGTTTATTTAAGGTAAATCAATAAATTATACTCTACACATCTATACGCTTATAATATACAAAAAATGAATTATATTTGGTATAAAACATTTATGTATATGTATGTATACATATATATATATCAATTTCTGCGGATGTCTATAGTTAATTTAATTATACTTAATTTTTTTTTGCAGATATGCTGAATTAGTCTTCGTTTAACATATATATCTCAACATATATTTTAAATAAAAGTTTTAAAATCGGTAATTTTGGTCAGACCTATTTATAATGGCTGACAAGGACACCAGAATACTGAGAGAAACACAATGGCCAAGTGTTCTTTTTTATTTATACCTTCATTTTTCTGCGTTGATCGGACTTTACTTCGTAGTTTTCCAAGCTAAATGGACTACTATATTTTATAGTAATTATTTAGTTTTTACTGATAACTGTTCATATTTGTATTTKTWTACTACCTTGGTAGGTAACCTATTTTAAATAGTAAATTGCAATAATTTTCATAGCGATATGTCTTGTCTATGTGTCTGTCCTCGGCTTAAGCGCTGGAGCTCATCGATTATGGGCGCATTTAAGTTTTAAAGCCAATATCGTGCTCAGAGGATTCTTGGCTATTGCACAGGCTTTAATATGTCAAGTATGTACAAATTATCAAAATGATAATATTTAAAATATCCTAATATATTAAAATTATTTTCAGGGATCACTTTACGACTGGGTATTAGAACACCGATTGCATCATGTACATTTTGGTACAGAAAAAGATCCTTTTAATCCAAATAGAGGCTTTTTTTTTGCATATTTTACAAACAAATTAGTAACAAGTCATCCTGACCATGAGAAATTGTTAAAAACCATCGATATAAAAGATTTGGAGCAAGATCCTATTGTATTGTGGCAAAAAAGGTAAAYCTTTTCAATTAAGTATTCATTAATTATACGATTTTATGTTTTAATTAGACTTTACTGGTTGTTGGCTCCATTGTTGCTGACGGTCACCGTGATTTTGCCATCTGAACTCTGGGATGAGTCACTTATGTGTTCAATTTTTATTGTTGGATTCCTCAGAGTTACAGTATCGTTACACTACAGTTGGATTTTAAATGCAGCTACGATAATTTGGGGACTAGAACCACTTAACAAGTAATTTACAAATACATTTAGTAGTATTATATTTTTAAAAAGATGAACAAAATATATTAATAAATCAGCCAATTTAATTTATTAAACTATAAATAGATTATAAAAATAAATTTAATTTCTTATGTACTATCTATATGATGGTTTTGATATGTTATGCTATAATCTAATTTATAAGTAATAACTAATAAACTGTAACTAAATGTTATCCTGAATCTGTAATAATTATAAGTGTCTGAAGTCAGAATTTTGACGAAATTCGTAAAAACCACGAAAATGTACAAATTATTTTGAGTTGGAAGTTCATAAAAATTTTCTTTTTAAACCTAAGGCTTGAAAATCTAATTAAAGATTTCTCATATGTTTGTTTATCTTTATATAAATAAAAAAAATTCTAGTTAGAAATTAATTTTTATGAGTGTTTGAAGTTCGAATTCTCACAGCATTGGGTATTCACTCGATTTTCATGAAGTAATTTTCATCTATCATCAATTACAGTGACTATATATCCCTTACTTTTTTTTTAATTTAAAATATTTATATATTTTTAAATCATAATGTACTACTAAAAGGAAATCGAATCATATAGGATTTCATAGGCGTGCGCAGGAAATTTGGGCCGTTTTCCGTTATATGGCCCATATAATATGGGCCTAAGCAAATATAACCTAGGATAAATTTAATGCAAAATATCAATTTATAAAAACTCTTATTGATTAAATGCTGTGCTTCACAATATTTAGATATATTTTTACCATATAGTATATACCTAGTGGATCCTAGTGGCTAGTAAACTACATTAGAATATTAAAA